CCCCCCCGGTATCTTCCCCCCCCTTGAGTCCCCAGGCCCCCTCACCAGTTCTAGCCAGGGCACTATGCAGCTGCTGTGGAAGTAATGGTTGCAAGGGAGTTGCCGGACCTGCTCCGCCACGGCGTAATCCTCTTTGCACACGGGGCACTCCAGGCCGGTATCTGTGGGAAGGCAGGAGGGCTCGGGTGAGGGCAGAAAGAGCCGGCGGAGCCCTTGCTGGTTTGCTACGGCTTCTCGACCAGGAAAGGAGACGGGAAGGCAGGGGTCCTGGCCCAGAGCGAACAGACCCGCCTGCCCTGGGCAGGAGAAGCAGCTGGTGACAGCCCACCGAGGGAGGAAAGGCGGCCACTGGGAGAGACAGGAAGAAGCCCTTCTGCAGCCTCAGGGTGCAGCGGTCAAACTCCCGCGCTGCAGCCAAGACTCTGCTCATGCCCTCTCCAGGGCCACCTTCCATCTGTGTTCGCCAGTCGTGCAGACAGTGAGGGACTGTGGAAACCAACCTCCAACAACATCTGGAAGACCAGCCATCCCCACCCCACCCTTGTAATTATGCGGACCAACCATCCATTTTAAGGGCTGGACCAGTTGCCAAACCTCTGTGTGGCACCTGAAGGACCGGCTTAACCCAGGGGGATCTGCCTGACAACTGCAAAGTGGTCATATGTGGTGAAAATACTTTTTTCTGAGATTTTTTTCCTCTTTTACTATACTACTTATTGCGTTCCCTATTATCTGCGGTTCTCAGCATCCGCAGGAGTGCTTGGATTCGCTTGCTTTCCTCTTCCCTCCCCCTCCCTTTTCCCTCTTGCGCTGTGTCAGAATGCAAGGCTGCAAGCTGAGACCGTCTTCAAAAAAGAACTTCTCATGCTTTTTGGCAATTGCTAGCCACGTCGCAAGTGATGAACCATCAGCTGCTGCTCCAACGGCCGTATTACGGACGCAGGAGTGAGTTTTACGAAGCTGCCGCTGGAGAGCACAGGGAGTGAGCTTTGGCTAAGCAGTTCGAAATCCCTGCAAGGTCAGGTCTCATTTGGTCTTCCGGGCAGAACGGGCTGTGTCCAAAGAAAGCCCCAAAAGCTACTTCTATGGCTGCCCGTCTGAAAAACAACCTGCCACTTTGTGGCCAGAGGTTGCAACTGAAAACATAAATTTAAAAGTCTCTGGAGGGAACCGCTTGAACCCAGTGCCTGGCTGAGTCATGAAAAAAAGCAACTTTCCCCCCACTTGGCTCAGCTCACTACTCTGTTTTCCCCAGCCTGGCGCTCCCAATCGGTCCCTGACTCCGAGTCCCATCAACCCCCCTTCCAGTCCTCCGCCCCCCCCATTAGGCCAATCGACGGAATGGGAACAAAACCATCAGAGAACTGACCAACTTGTTCCTGAGTCACTGCCACTGTCGGAAGAGAGGAGATTTTTTCTTTCTCTGCAGGAGGGGGTCCCGAATTTTCTAACTGTCCCAGGAGCTGCAGCGGGTGGAAAGGGGGGGCAAGGAAGAAGGCAAAGATCCCATCATCAAAGTGGGGGTACTGATACAGATGCTTGTGCCGCAGCTCTGCACGGGTCCCTGCTTTTAAGCGACGGCAGGAAATAGGCCGGCTTATCGAAAAGCAAATCGCAAAATGCTGGTCTTGGACCGAAGTTACCTCAAAATCATCTACCAGCATTACGTTGGTCCATCTAAGGCAGCCACCATCATCACCCATGTGGATCTTCCAAGGATCCTTTCCACGCCAGCCTGTCTGGCACCCAGGGACCTTGCCAGTAGGTGTGCCCCAGTTTCAAGCAAGGGCGGGTCCAATAACGTAAACCTCAGCTTTGACCAAGAGTGACTAAACACCTTTGAACGTTCTCCCATAGGTGCGCACGGCCACGGTCCCCTGGGAGGCAAAAGTATACTCCGCCTCTCCTCCTGCCCCCCCTGGGGAAGGTGAAAGGGAGAACGTGGTGGCTGAAGAAGGGGCTGCCACGGCTAGACACAAAGCCATATATGCAAGATAAGCCATGGGGAAGGGTCTTGGTGGGTTCTCTCTGCTGGCAACCTTACCTGTGTGACTATCGCATCAAGGCCGGTCTGTCCCCAGGCGTAGTCCCCGGGGCTCGAGTGCAGAGAGCCATTCCTGGAAGGAAAGAGGAAGGACCCGCTCAGCCCAGGGCATGAAGGAACCCAAGGAGGGGGTGAAGCAAACGGGCCCCGGCGCCCCCTGTCACAAAACACGATGTGCTACCCCAGGCATGACGTACAAGAACTTTAAGGATGATGCATTTATATCCCACCATTCCGCCAAGGCATACGGAAGTGGTTTTTAAAGAACGCATGACTTATAAAACACAATTTAAACCTATAATAATCGAAGACATTAACTCGGGGTGCTCTAAAACATTTCAAAAACATATACAAAAGGGTTTAAAAAAAGAAAGAAACACAGAACCGCCCTATGAAACCTTCTTCCCAGTTCATCCATTTGCTGGATGGACCGGAAGGAGGGAGCCCTCCTAGCTTCCTGTGGGAGGGAGTTCCACAGACCAGGAGCAGCCACCAAATACTTTTTTTTTCTCTTATGTCCTCACTAGGTGAGCCTCTGGGGGTGCTGGGACCTAGAGAAGGACCACCTCTCAAGGTCTTAAAAACTGGACAAGGTCATACTGGGGGTGGGCGTTACGGTCCTTCAGATTAAACCTTTGTTTGCCTGGAGTTGCCACAGTGAAGAATGAATGGGGGGGGGGAGAGTCTTCCTCTGGGAAAGTGCTTTGAAAACCTTTTCAAATCAGATCGCACACAGATGTTGGAAGCACAAAAACATACCTCTGTTGCAAATCCTTGGCACCCTCTCAAACCAACGCACTCTCAAAACCCCTAATTGAAAACAAAGATTGCCCAAAGCAGGCTCTGCTTACCAAGAAAAAGGGGAAGGAGGAGAACCAGGAACGGGTGAATTGGCGAAGAAGCCCGCGAACAGCTGCTGTATGATTCTGTTTGGGAGGGAGAGAGAGAAGAAAAGTCAGCATGTCAGGAAAACCTAGAACATGGCGAAGCAACTCCAGTTTTTGCTATTGCAGCTGCACGGAAAGGGAGAATCTTGTGGGACCGTGAGGAGCAGCAGAGAAGCAACCCCACTCTGTCTGATGAATAAAGAGCAGATGGCAAATTCTGTAATTTGCAAATATAGCGAGCAAGAAAAGAAATAATAGCAACAGCAGAAACAGCTACAAGCAAAATAAAGGTGGCAGGCCCTATCCTTCTTGGAGCCCCCCCCCCAAGTCAAATGAAGTCAATTCAGAGCAAGGACAAATGAGGAGCGGAGAAATGAAGCCAATTCAGAGCGAGAGCAAGAACAAATGAGGAAAGGTTGAATAAAGTCTAGGTACTGTAAGTACATGGGCTTTCTTTCTGTAGCATATGGCTGCCTTCCACAAATGTGTGCAAAAACCAAAATGATTTGGAGGGGAAGTGTGTTTTTTTAAAATTAAAAAAAAACACAAGTAGGAAAGGAGAAATAAAATTGTAAGTCACCCCTCCCTGACAAAGCCACTCATCTCTAATAACATGCATACCCCTTTCTCTTAACCACCTTCTTACATAAAATAAAAACTAGCAGATCCAAATTCCCACACACACCCCAAAAAAGCAGGGTAGTTGGGTTTTCTAAGCAAGCGTCTTTTGGGATATATTTCACTGTTTCCCTGATGCCTTGTTCGTAAAATGTAAGGACATGGTGTGACTCCCCACCCCATTAGGTGAGAACAGCCACTCCCTGACTCTGGCCCCCCCCAGCTCCCCTCTGCTCGGCCAAAACCCCACCAGAGGGACAAAGGCAGCCGCGCAAGGCAGATGCCCCCTGCCCCAAATCTCAGAGAGGGTCCCTCCACGCGGCCTTACCCTTCGATGGCCGGCGACCTCTCCGGCCGGGTGGTGAACCGGAGCCGGTATCTCCGGGTCATGGGCAGCCGGGGAGGCCGGCTTGGTCCCCACAGGTCCGCGTGGGCTTGGTGGCCCCTTTCGTTGTCTCTGCCGTCATGGTCCAAGGAGCTGCTTAGGAAGGGGAACACCATGGAATGGTCCAGCTGGTCCCAGAACTGGAGGAAAGAAAACGGGACGTCAGCTTGGGCTCTCGATCGCTTACATCGTGGCTCAAAGTAAATTCTGACTTGGAAAAGGTGGGGAGAAGGCCGTCTGAAAAGATGGAGGGGGAACCTTTCTGAGGGAGCACTCGAAACGCTGAACCAGTTGTTCTTCTACACCCTCTCTGTGCTGTTTTGCTTACCTGATCTTACACAGTACCTCGTATTTCCCTTGATTATTATGATGGGGAGCCCTGGGGCACAGTGGCTAAACTGCAGTCCTGCAGTCAAGACTCTGCTCCCAAGCTCCGAGTTCGATCCTCCGCCGTCACAGCTACCTGCTCATTTTTGCCCCATGTGAGTGCCGGGTGGCACAGACTTTAAAGGAATAAATGCATTTTCTCCACCCTCAGCTCTGGTAATAATTAGACTCTGTAACACCCACAGTTATATAAACACCCACTTTCTCTCTATCGTGCTGCCCAGCAGAAAACAGCAGCACACGGTCTGCTAGGAAAGCCAACTTCCCAGGCCCCATCACTTCACTTCATTCCATTTTTTCCTAAATTCCAAAGAAAGTACAGTAGGAGCCCCCATATCCGTAGGGGATGGGTTCCAAGCACCCCCCAATAGATGCTGAAAAATGTGATTATAGCAAACATCATTTTAATAGCAAAAACAGCATGGTCTCCACCTCCTTCTAATGGTCAATTCTGGTAAATGTCCCCTTTAGAAATACAGATATTTCTAGGATTGTTCTTTCAATATTTCCAAACTCTGGACAAGGGAATCAGCGGATACTGATCCCGCAGATACCGTGGGGGGGGGGTTCCTACTGTACACCACTGTGTGCACCACCTATTGTTACAGGAGGTGCTTTTNCACCTACTCTTACAGGAGGTGCTTTTATATTCGGGGGGGGGCATAGCGCATCCTGAAGCCCAGTCAAGAGGGTCAGCTTCCGCAGGGAAACAGAACCTCTCGGATCAAGTGATGCACAAAGAGGCGGCAGGCGAGCGGGATGAAATTTAAGTCGACAGGTGGGAGAGTCTAGTTCTCCGGCTACGTACCCAAGGGAAAAGTGCTGCGGAAGGACACCGCCCCGAGGTAGGAGGAGTGGCTCTCTTTCCTTCTCCCTTCACCTTTTGTAAGATCTGAGGTCCTGCTAATCATGTGGTCCTTCAGGTTACTTTCTAAAATCTTCACCTGTCCAGAGGTGGACGGGAGAAATAAATATCCAAGGGCTGACTGCGGCTTCCTCTTCCATGGTTATGAAAGTCTGCCATCTACCCACGGATGTTGGTATTGCAGGCTACCAAAAATTCATCTAATACTTTAGGATCCCCCATATTTGCTGGGGAAGAGTTCCAAGCCCCTGTGGATACTAAAAACTTTGGATAATAGCAAATGCTAGCTAGCTAAATATAGAGCATGCTAAAGGAGGGGGGATCTAGGAAAAAAACCAATTTTCACATTTTTCCCGACCTTCAGCAGACCTAGCTTTCTCCTTCTGGCTCAGAGCACCCTCAGAGCCTCAGGGAAGAGGGCTTGGTGGACTCCGGTTGACAGCTGAAATTGGGTGAGCGGGAGGGAGGGATGATGGGCTGGCCACTCAAGTTTTCCACTAATCACCCCCCCCATTATATTTACCCGCTGCTTCTTCAAAAGGAAGGCCTGTCTCATACTCTAGAAAGTCCCTCTTGGAGACGTGAACAACAACTCATTAGTCTAAATATATCACTGCTTCAGGCCGGTGCTATAATTAACCCGTCTTGCAAGGCATGTGGGAAACCCAAAGAGTCAGACCCCTCTTTACTTTCCAGGTCAAATCTGATTCCGTTTTAATCCTAAATTGCGAACGAGCAGAGTTTTTTTAAAATAAAGACGCCCCTTTCGAAGGTCTTGCTAGCTCAAGATGACAAAAAACACAAAACATGCTCTACCTGATCTGTTGCCCTAAACAATGGAAACCCCGTAACAAACCTCTTGAGATGCTTTCACCCAGAAAGCCATCATGCCAGGAACCAAGGAAAATCCAGGGAGCCCTCTGTGCTTTTGGCTTCTTGCTCCCCCCCCTTATTCTCCAGGCCCTTCCCACCTTGTTTTTTTTTCATACTCATAAATGGTCTCTACGTAGCTTTACCTGTTTGGGAAATGCTGTCCGAGTATTCATGGGAAGGGGGGGAAAAAACAATCTCACCTCGGCAAACAGGGTGGAAGGGCTGTCGTCGATCCCGGTGCCGCCGCCTTCTAGAAAACTAAGGAGAAAAGTCGGATGAAGGGGGTGTGTGTGCAGGGCACTTCCAGAAATAAAACCTCTAAAGCCACCTCCCAGGGGTGGGACCAGGAAGAAGCAAAGGAAGCTGCCTATGAGAGAAAGATCCTAAGTAAGGGAACAGGATGAAACCTGAGTGTCTGTAGTACTGGGGACGGCCGGGAAGGGGGGGGGGAGAGAGATCAGATCATACCGCAAAGAACGTGGTCTAAAAGAATCATACATAAGATTCTTATTATATATATTATTCTTAACTTATCAACCAAGTTCTTTCCGCAAAGACACCCTGATGCTTAGGTTAAGCTGAATAATGGACAAGCCACTCCAGGATATTTCTCAGCCTGGCATTCTCACATCTTCTTCTTTGGACTGAGAGACTACAAGGCTCAAAATCCCCTGACATATGATTTAGTTCCCCTTGTATACCACTTTCTCCCCCCAGTAAACTCGAAAGAGGGGGACTGGGTTCTTCTCCACCTTAATTGATCCTCTCCCGATAGTCCTATAAGGTACGTTGACTTGAAGGGCGACGCCTGACCAAGCCCCCATCCCCCCGGGAGGAGTTTCCGCTGGGACGTGAAAGCCAGATCTGACCCATAACATTCCCACGCTCTAACCACTGGGCCACTCTTCCTCTGTAAGTCTTTAGTGAGGCACCTCTGGCTTCAATCCCATCTGTATCATGAGGTGAGCTGAAATACTATGTTTTCCTGCAGCCACGGAACGTCTTTGACAGCTGTTTTAAACAAAAACCTAAATATCTGGGGCCTCCTTTGACAGGGGCTGGTCTTGATGATCTCCTGGATCCCTTCCAGCCTCTGCACCTCTAAGATCATTAATCCTCTTTTGGAAGCAGACAGCCGGGCTGGACGGACTTGGATCTGATTCAGCAAAGCTATTACGTTCCTATGACAAGCGGGAAGACATTCAGCAGCCAACCTGCCCAAGCTGAGTCAGCCCTTCAGATTTCAACATGACTGAGGACAGCAGGGAGCAAATAAAAGGGGGGCCTTTCCCAGGATCTCCCCCCCCCTCCAGCACAGAAGGACGACACTGAATCAGCCCGTCTCAAGGACTGGGCACGTCCCCAAATTTGGCAGCCAGAAATCTTAAGAGCCACTTATAGCGCAAATGGTTTGCGGTCTTTAAATTGAGCGTACAGGTCACCCTCCACTGGGTCAGGACCAAGTAGATTCAGCCGGGATCATTTTCCATTTCTGATCACTGACCCTCCCTCTCTTGGGAAATAACCAGACAGGGTAGATAAAAATCCATGATTTTTAAAAAAAGAATTTAAAATCATTTTTTAAAAATTAAAATTTTCAACAAAAAGCTGATTTTTTAAAAAAAAATTAAATTGGATTTATATCAAAATTTTCACTCGGTATAGCACTAGGATGATCTAGAACAGATCCTGCCCCTCCTATGTATTGACTGCCTTTCAAGTATTTGAACAGCGCTGTCCTGCCTCCCGTCAATCTTCTTTTATTAAAGCTAATCATGCCCACTTCTTTCAGCCTTTCCTCCTCATAAGGCTTGGTTTCCAGTCCCCCACCCCACCCGATCCTCCTCCTCGCCCTCCTCTGAACTTGATTCTCCTTCTCGCCCTCCTCTGAACTTGTTCCACTTTGTCAGCATGATTCTTGAAGTGCGGTGTCCAGAACCGAACACAGTACTCGAGATGAGGCCTAACCTGTGCTAAATAGAGAGTAACGTGTATCTCCAGCACGTACTTGAGATGAGGCCTAACCGGTGTTAAATAGAGAGTAACGTGTATCTCCAGCACTAGAGGTGGAGAGAAGAGAAAAGAAAAGGAGGGAAGGAGGGAGGGAAAGGCATGGGGCCGCTGACCAACATCTGATGCGTTTGGGAGGGCAACAGGTACCTGGAATTGTCTGTCACTTCTTCAATGAAGCCAGACTCACATCGAGGGCATGTGTACTCCTGCAAGGAGAGAAGGAGAGAGAGAGTACGGATGAGGCCAAAAATACCCAGCGGTAGGAACCAAAGCTCCAGGGACGAGTCCTTAAAGAGCTCAGCCCCGGAACCAACCTAGCCCATGATAAGATTTCCCTCCGAGTCGCCCGACTCCTCCGTCCTCCATGGAAAAGGCAGAAGGAACAGCAGCGTGCGTTTCCAATGGTTCGGGGACCACCCTTTCTCCTCCCACCAACCAAGAATGTCTGGCTCGTAAAGACAGATCGGACAGTGTGCAACGGGCGCAGAGACAGGACCATGGCCGAGCCCACCCCATTTTAAAATATTATTATTTTTATAACCATCCCCAGCATCTGCAAACACAACATACGAAGAAACAGAAAGCATCCTAATACTCAAAACAACTGCCACAAAGGAAACATGAACTCAAACCGGTCCACCCAGCACTAAGACCAGGAGAGAGAGATATTTCCTCCAAAGTTACAGCGATTAGCCTCTCTCATAACCCCTTCCAACACAGCATCAGCTCTCGTCTGGGGAGATGGCCTCCACTTTTTGAATAATACAAACTTCAGAAAATCTTGCCACATTTCAACTCACCCAACACAGGCCACAAATCAATGCACCGTGAGATGTAACCACATACCCAGGATTCTTAAAGCCAATGAATGTTTTACTTGTGGTTTCTGTATTTCATTCTGCACTTCATTTTTCCCCCATATGTCCAAAGAAAGGGACATGAACTTCAAAAGCTCACATTAAAATATTAACAGTTAATCTTGAAGGTGCCACATGTTTTTGTCTTTGTTTTGTATGGTTTCTTTGGAATTTGCCTGATATTTTTAAATGTTATGTCAACTTCTTGTCAACAGCTACCGTGTTTCCCCCCAAATAAGACAGGGTCTTATTTTTTTTCCCTCCAAAAAACGCACAAGGGCTTAATTTCAGGGGATGTTTTATTGTTTTTATGTACAACCATCTACATTTATCCAAATGCAGTCCTGTCTTCTTTCTTCTGGTTGCTGCACAAGGGCGGAGGACTGGGTTTCACTTAAGTGGGGCTCATTTTGGGCGCAGGGCTTACATGACAAGCATCCAGAAACATCATACTAGGGCTTATTTTCAGGTTAAGTCTTATTTTCAGGGAAACAGGGTATTTCCCAGAATTCATCGTACCGTCCAGTTTTTCGTGTTCAGTTTTTCAGTGTTTAGTCCAAATGACGGCAGTTTTGAGCAGCTATCCTCTGCCCGGCTTTTAACATTAATCTGGACCTGATGTCCACTTGTAGGCTTTCATTCATTGGGGGAATGATTTATTGCTCTATTGGATTTTTCTGACTGCATCTGGACATGGGAATAAGCCAGGGAGATGTACGAATTCTGCTGACTGAAGACAAACTCCACTCCGGCAGCTGCAGCGTTCAACGGAAGCATGAACAAACCTTTGGGTAATGATGGGGGTTGATGGTGGCATTTGAATGTGGTGGCAGCTGACGCGTTGGTGGGGTTCCCTCCTCTTCCTCCCAGCCAGGAAACCGAAGAAGCAGCTCCTGCAACTAACCCCACTTTCTTCTCCGGCTTGTCAGGAGAGAAATGAGCCAGCCAGCCATGCTCATGTCCAGAGAAAACGACCCCCGGACCAAAAGCCTGTGGTGTCTTTAGCCTCTCCAGTTGGGAGCACGCAAGCACACCACGCTCGCCCCCAGAGGACAGGGTTCCTGCACTTCTCTGGCTTGCTGTGATGCCCAGACACCATTGCTATGTGAGCCTAGAAGGGACTAAGCCTTTACAGAGGACCCAGAACAGCACGCAAGCACACCACGCTCGTCCCCAGAGGACAGGGTTCCTGCACTTCCCTGGCTTGCTGTGATGCCCAGATATCATTGCTGTGTAAGCCTAGAGGGGACTAAGCCTTTACAGAGGACCCAGAACTATTTGAAACAGAATTTTAAACATACAAAGCACCGCACAGGGGAGGGAGAGACCCAGGAAGTCAGTTTTGGAAGCAGAATGTGGCTCCCGGAGACTGTGGAACTCCCTGCCACCGGAGGCCAGGCTAGGTACCCATTCTTGGCTGCCCTTCTGCAAGCAGGCCAAGGGACCTTTCTCTTCCAGCCAGGTTTCTTTTAAATGACGGGCTGCCTGAGTGGGGTTTTTTAATGGATGGTTGTGCCTCAGTGCTTTGAACGTGCTCTGGTGTTGCTAATGTTTGTTTAGTATGGTATTCGTTTGATTTTTTAAAAGCATCTGTACACTCCCTGTTGTTTGCTTCAAATCCTGCCTTTTAATCATGTAAGCTGCCTTGGGTTCGGTATTCGTTTGATTTTTTAAAAGTATCTGTACACTCCCTGTTGTTTGCTTTAAATCCTGTCTTTTAATTATGTAAGCTGCCTTGGGTTCTTTTTAAGGACAAAGGTGGGGTAAAAATATTTGAAATAAACAAACGCTGAGCTAAGCAAGACCCTGGTCCAATCCTGCAAGCCTTCTTATATCCTCTCGTGCGGCCAAGAATTTCTGGGGGAAAGGGAATTAAAATGGGGGTGCGGTAGCCCAGGTGTGCTGGAACCCCTAAAATCGCCACCCCATCCCTGTGAGGGCGGAGGGGGACTTTTTTGGGCCGTTTTTTTAAAAAAATTCAGGATATGGGTTCCTGAGAGACCCCCATCTGGACCCCGTGGAAGGCTGTACAACCCTAACCTAAC